AAAATCTTAAGAAAAATCACCAGGCATTGAAAAAGAATCAGGAACGAGACCCTGTACTGAACAAATGAAGATTTATCATAATGAGGGAAAAGGTAGAGATAAAATAAGACTTTAGAGCATCTGTGATTAATATACAAAGACTTGAAGCAGTTTCATCCATTAAAGTGTTAATTAGAAAAGGGGTATTTGACTCTGCAAGAAGAAATTTTAATATTTTTTAATTATAAAATAGCACTTAACATAGTATTTGTATATTAGGATGTTTGAATATCCAGAAGTTCAAGAAGACAACCTACATAATTCTATGAGATTTTTCAGAGCTTTGGGAAAGATACACAAAATTCCATTATATATTGTTTATGGAAGCATAAGAAAAACATGCATGGAAATGATCATACTAACATTGGAAGATGTTAACTGTCTTGCTATGGAAGGGAAGGATGGAGGGGAAGAAGACTGAAGTTGGGTGAAAAGCACTGTGTATATTGTATTTTTCTTTAAAAAGGATATAACTCAATTTTTCCCCACATAATCACGCCAATGAAAATATGACGGTTTTTATTTCTGATCTCATACTTAGACACTGAGTGTACTTTGGTTCACAAAAACTGGTGCTCATCCCTGAAAATACAGTTGAAGTCCTGTTGAATTTGGGAGTGTCCCTATGATTTGCTTTGACAGGGAAATATAATTTTGTGGACTCCTGGATTATTAAAATGTGTCAAAAGTTTATCATAGGACAAAGGGTCTGATAAAAAGATTCCTCTTGTTGATCTGAGTTGAACATGAGAAATAAACTTATTTTGTAAACCACTGAAATTTTTTTTTTTTGTTACTGTAGCATAATCTGTTCTATCCTGGTTGATACAGCTACTAAGTTTCCCTAAATTCTTTAATTACCATAAGACTTTTCCTTTTCCCTTGGGATATAGAAAGTCAAGCGATGAATAAATTATACAGTCAGAGAATGTAAACAGTAAAAGACTATTGAGATAAATTAGTTCAGTAGTCTCCACACCTTAGATTCTAAGTAGTCAGTACAATTTCCAAAAAAAAAAAAAATTGCATAAAATACATTTCAATATAGTATGTACCTATTGAAAGTGATTTCCCAAAGATTAATTTTTCAATTTATTTTTTATGGATAATTTATTTTTATTTACTTTTTAAGCCAAGTATAGAAGAATGTTTACTGAGGAAGATAAAGGTACACTTGGTTGGTATGCTGCCTATAATGGAGAGTACAGTAATTACAGTACCCCGGTGGTTATGAGCTGGAGCTGGAACGTCAGATTCAAACTACTCCACATTGAAGTTCTGGCTGCAGTCACCTGTGTGACCACCACCAGGTTAATGAATCTTTTTAAGTCTCATCTTTTTCATCTATAAAGTTGGGAAAATCTTTGTGCAAAATGAAATATACACGAACCAACAATGATATAGCAACGGTGGTTATTAAGTACATACTCCATATTTGTCATATTTTAGTCTTTGTAAACATTAAATCATTGTATCCATAAATCATGGTAAAAATAAATTACATTCATCCTTTAGAATTTGACTTGCGAATAAAGAAAGTAAACATATTGATTGCCTAAACCAAAGGGAAACGTCTTGGGAAATGCCTGTGGTGGGTAGTTGAAGATATCTGGAAAATAGGGAGACCTAATGTACTTTCCCTCCATGGCTCAGGAACTATTTCTAAACTAAACTAAAGAAACAATGTAACCTTCATTGTAGTTTGAACCACATTTCTTAGTAAATACAATGAGGAGCAACTTAAGGCATAGAACCATTTGGGAATCATTGTTTCTCCACTTCCTCTGGTATTTTTGTTTTATATACTTTGAATTGTGCCGATAACTTGAGCTAGCTATGAGTAATTATGAAAGCTAAAAGAAGTATTTCTGAAAAATGGAATGTAAAAGCCTGTGAGTACCTTTATATGAGTTCAACAAGTTGTGTATCTGCATATTTGTGTCCAATTATTTGTTAAATAGTCCAGAAATAGCAAAGAAAAATAGTAAAGGTATACTCTGGAGAATCACTTTCAATACAGGCATACCAATTGGAGGGTTGTTCCGATACCATTACAATCACTGAATCATCCTCATTGGCCTATAATATGGACTACAAGAATTATTGAATATCACTGGTTATGAGGGTAAGCTTTAGCTTTAAAATCAAACTAACCATGTATGTCATCTTAAGCAAGTGAGTGAATGTCTTTGAATCTAGTTTTTTCATCTGTAAAGTGTGGGAAAATGCTTGCTGTTTGTGTGGGATGAAGTGTTGCACATGAACCAGTTTAGATAAGGAATGATGTACCAAACGACAGTGATTGTTAAGTATGTACCCCATATTTGTCATATTAATCAAGGTAAACATGAAAGCATTGTAACCATAAAATCATCGTATAAATAAATCAGATTTCTCTTTTAAAAAATACATTTCAATATAAAAAGTAAAGAAATTTAACTTTAGGAAAAAAAAACTATTAATGGATTTTTCTGTTTCCTCCTCCCCTCCCTCCCTTACTCCCTTCTTTTCCCACTTAATATAAAGCTAATCTTATTTTCTTAAATGAGATGTAAGGATGAAACAAGTAGCAGTCCCAGTCAGCACTTCATATTCATGGGTTTGGCAGTTGTGGATTCAACCAACTACAGGTGGAAAATACTCAAAGAGAAAAAAAGATGGTTGCATTTGTACTGAACATGGGCAGACTGTTTTATTTTTCTTACTATTTCCTAAACACCACAGTATAACCACTCTTTACACAGCATTTACCTTGCCTTAGGTATCATAAATAATGTAGAGATGACTTAAAGTATACCAGAGGATGTGCATGGGTTATATGCAAATACTACATTATCTGAATGTATGTGGATTTTGGTATTGTCAGTGGGTCCTGGAACTAATCTCCCACAGAGGAATAAAGAATGACTGTACTTAAATAGTTAACCTTAAAAATTTAACAAAACTTTGAGTAGTAAATATAGATACCACATACGATGTGCCTCATATGGATATACTGTATTTTTACTGTACTCTTTCTGTGGTTAGCTATGTTTAGATATACAAATGTATTGTTACAATTGCCTACAGTATTCAGTACAGTAACATGCTGTACAAGGTAAGGTGTGTATATATAGTTTCCAGGTTTGTGAGAGTGAACGCTGACATTCACACAATAATGGAGTCACCTGAGCACATATTCCTCAGAACATATTTCTGTCATTAAGCGAAGCATGATTGGAAAAAAAGTAGTGCAGGCATACCTTTGCTACTACCCTAATTAATTCTTACCAACATTTATGATTTCTTAAATTTTCTCTGGAAAAACTATTCACAAAACAAGTGCCAGACTAGGAGAATATAGTTGTGATGTAGAACAAAAACAAGAATGTAAGAACTCCAAGTATTCCATTAAAAAAAAAAAATTCTAAAAAATAGATGGAGAAAGGAACAGGGACATCTCAAGAGGAAACAAATGGCCAAAAAAAAAAGAAAGTGTAATGATGCTTAGCCTTGCCAGTTTTGGGAAATGCAATTGAAATAAATTATTTGACATCTGTTAGGAAGCCAAAAATCAGAGGCTTGGTGTCAATTTGTGGTCAGAATGTAGTAAAAGATTACTGTGATATATTGTGTTACTACTGGAGAGTAAAAATTGTTACATATGGGCAATTCTGCATACTATTAAAATATAAAGTGCATTAATTTCTACTTATCTACATGTACAAATATTTACCCGCTTATACAAGGGGACATGAACACAAAGCACTTCTCATAATAGCAAAATCTTTGGAAATAAATATTCATGACGTTGAAGTGCAGCTAATTAAAATACTGTGGATGGGAGCCTGCTTTGTGTCTTAGCCCAGTTAGCATAGTCTCTGTTATTTTACTCCTTTAAAAGACTTGTGTTCTGACCCTGTATTAGACAATTGTAAAAAGAATGTGTTCCTTGTATGTACATTTGGTCAAGTTAATTAAAACTTGTTCAAATCTGCTTGTTTTTATTCAAATCTAATAATTACTGAAGTTGTATGTTAAGAATTTCCCATTGTGCTTATGCCTGTGATCCCAGCACGCTGAGAGGTTGAGGCAGATGGATTGCTGAGAGGTTGAGGCAGGTGGATTGGTTGAACTCAGAAGTTAGAGACCAGCCTGAGCAAGAGGGAGACCCGGTTTCTACTAACAATAGAAAAATTAGCTGGGTATTTATTGTGTTGGGTGCCTATAGTCCCAGCTACTCCAGAGGCTGAGACAAGAGGATGGCTTGTACTCAAGAGTTTGACGTTATTGTGAGCTATGACACTAAGACACGACCCAGGGAGACTGAGTGAGACTCTGTCTCAAACATAAATAAAATCTCCGATTGTAAGTGCAGAAGTACAGGTTTCCCTGTTCTTTCTCACTATTCTCTACAGTTTTTGGTTTATTTTAAACCTAAGTTATGAGAGACATAAACACCTGTAATGGTTGATTTTCTAGTCAGAGTCAAACACTTAAAAGTAGAACCATTTGATATTTGCCATTAATTTGGCCTTAGGTCCATAAAGCCAAAAATCTGATCAAGCAACAGTAGCTTTCCTTTAGAATTTGCATGGTTTATTGTGCCTTAGCTTTTTATCTTTACCAATTTTTCTATTCCCATTTTTTAAAATTGTGTCTGAAAATGTTTATATTTTAATATTAGAGTGAAGAGAAGCAGGTCTGATTCCATTTAGTTGTAACTCATTCCTGAGAATCAGCGAGGAGGCAAAACAAGCCTAACTCCATTCTCTTTTGGTACATTTTACGTAACCAGTTCAGCTGGCCTCTGCCTCCCTGCTGATTATATGGTATTTTAAAAAGAAAGGAAGACAAAGAGAAAACAAACAGCCTAGTTGTAGACAGAAGTACAGTGTAGCAAATTGATCAGGGCTGGGACTCCTGGCAGCAAATGGGGAGCAGGGGAGGGAAGAGTGTACGGCCAATCTGCTGTCATCCTGGGGTTCAGATCAGATTGGTACAGATCAGATCTGGAGCAGGATGGTAGGGCTGCATATTGACAGGAAGAGTTACAGAAAATCTATACAATTCTAAATCCAGCAATTTTTTTCCCTACTGAAGAGAATGCAAAAACAACTGTGAGATTTGTGTTACTTTATGATTGAAAAACACTGAGTAGGTTTGAAAGATTGCTGATTTAAAGACATCAATGTGGTAAGTTATTTTATTTTATTTATTTTTTGAGTATCATACGGTTGGTTCTCCCACACCCTGCCTTTGGTTTGGAAGTGAGCAGTTTCTGTCATATGATTTGATATAGTTCCAAGGTTCAGAGTCTATTTTAGGCTTGTTGACAACTTATGTTTCAGTATCCTGCAGCACCAAATGTGCTATGTACACTGGAAATATGTCCTAGCCTTGGTTTAAAAGGTCTCTCTGATCTCAGAGATCTGGTAGGCAAACTCGATTTTCTTTTCTCTTTAGAATCTAAACTTGGCAAGTGACTTATCTTGAGCTCAAGTTAATTTCATTCTTTTTCTTTTATTTATTTTGAGGAAGGGCTGATGAGTAAAAGTTGACTGTTTTAAGAAAGCTGTGCATAATTCAGTGTAAAACTCAGAGGAATTACACTGAATTTTTTCAGTAAGAAAAAACCACTAAGTTGACCAACTGGTATAGTAATATTACTACCTACAGCTTTAGACTATTGAAACGTGGGAAAATAGAAAAAAAAAAGTCAAAACCTTTGACATAAGTGTTAATGATAAAATAATGTATTTAGATGTGAGATTAAAGTATTTCTATTAGAATATGTAATGATGCTTCTATAAAATTACTTGCTAAAAAGATACTTAATTGTGAGGCATTTAGGCTAAGAACCATGAATAAGGAGAACAATACTTGGTCAATGCTAATTCATTTGCATGTTAAAAAAATCTTTCTTGGGAATAATACAAGGCTAGTTGGAATAGGGGAAAATAACTGATGTTATAACTGATGTTAATATAGTTAGAAAGGAAGTGATAGAAAGGTGAGTTTTTTGGAGATTGCTTACTTTTTGCTTAATATTTAGTAGAGCTCTTTATTTCATGACATTGGTATGATTTAAGTAGACTTCGAGCTAAATGACTAAATTTAACACTAAATAATGTGTTAAGAAAAATCCTGAATTTACACTAGTCTTTGTAATATGTCATTTCATATTGTGGACATAATAAAATACCAAATACCTCTAATGTAATATTCATTGGAAAAAAATACTGTTGAGAGCATCTAAACGGGGAACTTTTGAGTTAACAGAATTTTCTTCCTGACATTGGTTATGTTTGATTGAAAATTCAATTATAAGTACTCCTTAAGGACTATTTTTTTTTTTTGCTAGGATATTATCAAATGTCCTGTTTCATACTTTTTTAAAAAATTAAATTATAGCTGTGTACATTAATGCATTTATGGGGTACACTGTGCTGATTTTATATACAATTTGAAATACTTTCATCAAACTGGTTAACATAGCCTTCACCACACTTTCTTAATTATTGTGTTAAGACATTTATACTCTACACTTAGTATATTTGACATGTACTCTTGTAAAATATCCAATAGGTGTGGTCCCACCAATTACCCTCCTGCCACCCATCCTCTGCTCTCCCTCCTCCCCCTCCTCTTTCCCCTTCATCTTGGGCTATAGCTTTCCTATGGAAGTGTGGGTAATTATATATCGGTTTCATAGTAGAGCTGAAGACATTGAATACTTTTTCTTCCATTCTTGAATACTTTACTAAAAAGAATATGTTCCAACTCCATCCATGTAAACATAAAAGAGGTAAAGTCTCCATCTGTTTTTAAGGCTGCATAATATTCCACAGTGTACATATACCACAATTGATTAATCCATTCATGGGGCAATGGTCATTTGGGCTTCTTCCATGACTTAGCAATTATGAATTGGGCTGCAATAAACATTCTGGTGCAAATAAACACTCAAAGATGAAGAGAAGTGGAGAGCAAAAATGGATCATTCCCTGAGAGAGTTGTGGGACCACTCCAAAAGAGCAAACATTCACCTTATAGGAATTCCTGAAGGAGATGAGAATGATCTGAAAGGCACAGATGCTCTACTCCAAGAGATAACTGTGGCTATTTCACACTTTTAAAGAGGTCTCACAGTATCCCATTTGGCCCAGTATAGTAACCGTTTCAGCTTTAGAGTAAAGGGATGTTCTCTTTTGTAGAGCAATCCAAGAAGTGTAAGATATGAGCAGTAGAGCATTGATAGGAACACCTGTGGATAGCTACTCTCAGGATAATTATTCCAAGAAACAGACACAACAATTATTTCAAAACCTTTATTTTTTTGTTTATTTTGTTTTTGATTCCAAAGACATCAAGGATTTGTTTGGAGATTTTACTTCACAAGATACAAATATGTTTTCATTGTTTTAATGCCTCCCCTATGTGGTTTATAGCTCTTCATATTGCTTGCTTGAGTTGAAAATTAAGATAAAGTGAAAAAATATGTAATATTGCATGGCCCTTAGTAGAAGCTTATTATATGTTTGTATAAGTTCACCTATCCTAGGATGCTAATAAAGTTCCTTAAATTTCTGCCAATTAGCCCTTACTATAAAACATCCTAAATACGTTGTGAAAAACACTGATTTGTTATTAAGACCAGTTCATGAAAAATAAATTAAAAAACAAATGGCAAGCATAAAAAATATAGTACATGCATTTTGAAGCGCAAAATATTTTAATGATTAATTCAAATATGTAACTTTAAAATGTATGTTATCACTTACTTTTGGCTATTATGTAACTCAACCAAAATTTATCATTTGTATTAAAAAAAAGAACAGTTCAGAGTTAACTGACCAACATAGACTTGCCAGAAATTCTTTAGAAAAGAAAAAAGGAAAAACATGGAAAAAAATTACAGGGCAACATGTTGGTGGTTCCTTTTCATCTCTATCCATTCCTATATGGGGAATGAAAATAATTCTGTGAAGCAGAAAGTGTTATTCGAAGTTGGAAAGAGTGGAATGGATAGACAGATTAGCCAAGTGATAATGCAGTGTGTCCCAAAAGTCACCCCTAAAGTACCTACATGTGGGGAAATGGGAAACTATAGCTAACTGTGGCTTTGTTTGCGAAGTATTAATTATAAAATTTTACAAAATATTAACAAAATATTACCTATGTGTTGGCCGCCTCTTTGTAAAAATACAATTTTTCCTATGTATGATGACTTTAGGGGTGACTTTTGGGACACTGTAGAGTGAAGGTGGGAAGAGAGTATAAGTTCAAGGCAGTTTTAATGGGAGCAGTAGTAAAAATAATAATACAATGTTAACAACATTATAGCAACCAATTATATTGAGCTTTTACTTTATCCATATCCTGGGATAACAGCTTTGTTGGCATTAACAATTCTGTGAAGTACTTACTATTTTTTCTAGTTTATGGATAAGTTTAGGGAGATTAAATTCTAGGGCACACAGCTGATAAATAGCAAAGTCTGGATTTAAACTACAGTTTCTGTAATCCCTAAATTCACATTCTTTTTTTTTTTTTTTTTTTTTTTTGAGACGAGTCTCTCTAGAATTCTGCGGCTTCACAGCTCATAGCAATCTCAACCTCTTGGGCTTACGCAAAAGTCACATTCTTAACCATTACACTTTAGTATTTGGAACCTTGACTCAATTACGAAGTTCAACTGTTGCCTCTTTTCAATAAATTTCCAATACCAGGAACTTAGAATTTATATGTTACAGCCATTTATTGAGAAATAAGACAATGTTAATTATTTTTCTAGGTTCTAGGAATATTACATATGAAGTTGACCTTCAAGGGGATTGGTCCAGAATGGTGGACCTGCAAACAATTAATTACAATGTATCAACAATGTAAATCGAATATAGTTTAGTAACATCATATAAGTTAAAAAGTCATGCAGCAGGAGAGTTGATTCTGCTGGGAATATAATGGGAAGCTTCATAAAGATTTGACCTCAACTTAATGTGGAAGGAAAAGTAATTAGCAGTTACACAAAGGTGGTAAAAGGAGTTCATAGAAGAGGCAAAGCCCTGGGAGCATCATGGAGGTATCATGACATTACATCATCATGGAGGTATTATTACATGTAAAATTTGAGGATCTTCTACTAGTTTTGCCATGGGAGGTGTTCATATGGTTGCTGGAGAAAGGACTTAAGGAAAGCTTTATAACTTCTGATAAAGGAATAATTAAGACTCATAGCATTCTTGATAGCCTTCCCCAAAGCAGGTACTGCCTCAGTTTTCTCATGTTAATAAGTGTGGGATCCCTGCCAAATACCCCTATCTTTAATATTTTTCTTTTCCTCATTCACCATTTCTCTATCCATAACCTACTACCTTCTACCTCTGAAATATACCTTATCTGTACCCTATTTCACTCACCTCTTTCCTGGGCAACTTTGAAAGTCTCTACACTTGTCCTCCTATAATCTTACTTCTTCAAGGAGGTAAGAGGGATTTTCTTTTAAAACGTAGCAGCCTTCCAGCTTCCTTTATACTCTCAATGGCTCTCTTGATGCTCTCTCCAAGACCTTGCGTGATCCGGCCTACCTCTCTAACCTCGTCTCACTTTACTCTCTGCTTTATCACATAGACTTGCCACACTGACTTAATTTTTTAAACTTTTTTGTGTACTTTTAGATTTTTTTTTTCCTTCCCTGAGCTTTTGCTCTTACTTTTTATCTAGGTTGTTCTTTCTCTGATCTTAAAATGACCGGATCCTCTACTCCTTTAAAACATAGCATAAAGTCACTTCCTCAGGGATGTCCAGTCTTAAATACCTTGACAGTGATGTCCCCCTCTATTTTGTTATACTTTTCATACTACAATAGAACTTCTGTAAGTTGATCACCCAAGGGACTATAGCAAACGGGCCAATGTAAGGAACAAGGCCTACTGTACTGACATGGACGTGGTGGATGTCGCGTCTAGGAAGATTCGGTCAACTTAAGGAGGTGGTCAGCTAAGGAGGTTCTGCTCTAGTCCATATTGCTATATGAAGTTTTTATCAGCTCATTAGTGTTATTATTATGTACTCATGTATTTTTCTTTCCCTCCTGAGAACAGAAACCTGTCTGTGTTGTTCATCTTTTTATCTGGAACAACATCCACAGTGCTTAGCAAAAAGCAGACACTGCCTTTATACTTACTGAATGAATTAATGAATTTTTCCATCTGTATTATCATTCCTCTCACAGGATATCACTTACATTAACAAGGAAAAGGGATGTGAATTCACTTATTTGGTGTTTTATCCCGCTATTAACACACACCTTACTACGACAGCTGCTATATTAAGTGGCTCGAAGAAGAGGTTAAAAAAAAGTCTGTTTCTTCAATTCATGGGCATTTTAATTCCAAACAGTTTCTTAAATCTTAGCGTAGAAATTTAAATAGCCAAAAGTTTGGATTGGAGGTGGAAAACAGAGCTGAATCTTTTCTATAATGTTTCTTTTTAAAGTGGAAATATTATAAGCATTGCAAATAGACAGCTAAAGCAATATTTCAGATATTTGATTCAGTGAACTCTGAATTGTTATTTTCCTTCTGTTAGTGAAACATCAGAAGTAAAATCTAATCCTAATTAAACAACACAATAAGAACTGTTTGCATATACGTAATGCCAGATGTTTGAAAAGTCAGTATTCTCACAATAAGAAAACTCATTAGCTTGTTTTCATGGGAAATTTTTTGAATCTTCACCTGTTCATACGTATCATTATTGATAATCCTTTTCAGATTATGAATAAACAGTCTGTGCTCTGTGTATTTATTCATGCTAATATTTGCTTTGTAAAATGTGCTTCTTACAGGAGTATAAATAGTTTCTGAAACAGATACTGACAACTTCAAAGGAAAATGAAGTTCTTTCTGTTGCTTTCCGCCATTGGGTTCTGCTGGGCTCAGTATTCCCCAAACACTCAAAAAGGACGGACATCTATAGTCCATTTGTTTGAGTGGCGCTGGGTTGACATTGCTCTGGAATGTGAGCGCTACTTAGCTCCCAATGGATTTGGAGGGGTTCAGGTAGGTATTATTCCTAGTATGAATTGCTGCATTACTATGCCAGTAGTAAATGATATTCTGATTAGTATACGTCAAGCTGGAGCACCATCGTACTTCATATATAAGTACTCTGAGTAAAATAGTATTCTGAAGAACAAATAATTTGTTCTTGGCAGTTTGATGTGTTATTTCTGGTTTCTTTCTTCAGCACAAACTTTCCAATGTGCTGTTGATATTTTCAAGTGGTTGAAAAGAAATGCAGTTGCATATACAGTCCAGGATTCAAAAGTCATTTTATGTTATTGATGAGTTTCTAGGACATAGGATGTAAAGTAAGCCAAAATTTGATGCTTATTAAGACTGCTTTATTTGTAGATCTCTCCACCCAGCGAAAATGTTATAATTAACAGCCCTTTTAGACCTTGGTGGGAAAGATACCAACCAATTAGCTATAGATTATGCACAAGATCTGGAAATGAAGATGAATTCAAAAACATGGTGACCAGATGTAACAATGTTGGCGTAAGTACATTCAAGTTTCCTTTAAAAATTTTATATAGAAGGTAATTTCTCCTGTTTTTTTTTCTCCTTTTGAGCAGAAAGTTTTCCGTATTTTAAATTATACCATTTTACTTCATACTTTAAAGTTATAACTCAAAATGAACTGTTGCTTTATGTTCAACTTCTATAAATCTTTGTGTGTGTGCCATTTACCTACTAAAGAAGAGATAAGTTCAAGTTTAAAACAGAATTTACTTATAAAGCAAAACATCAACTTTTAATCCCACAACTATCCACATTTCCTGGAAACACTTTTCTGGCTAGGAATTGAAAATTCCAATTAAAATATTTGTTATCATTTTTCATGGCTTATATCTCCATCCATAATTCCTGGGTCTTCTTATCCATAAGTTTTTTAATCATGAATAGCCATGTTCTCATTTTAGTGAGGAATATAATAAGAGACACATATCTACCTTTCTTTCTTCATCTGTTGAGTAGACAGTAGACACTAAGTGAGTCTTCTTTCTCCTGGCAACCCACTGAAATTTCAGAAGTCAATAATCTCTCTTAGCAACTGATTTTGACCACCGCCAAAAAACTCTTGACATTTACTTATATGTATAGTGGTTTCTGATACTCTAAATTTATCATTTCTGTGAATGTTTCACCTCATAGCTAGAATGGATATAGGCTTCAGTTCACATGCCTTTCCCACTTGACTTTTGGTATTGTAGGAAAGTAAGTTATAAAATAACAAGGAAATATTCTGGAATTTAATTAACATGTTATGAGCTTTAATGATGCTTTAGATTTCTACCTTTCTGTAAGTCAAACTGAAGTAGACACTTTGCCTTCCAGGTCCATATTTATGTGGATGCTGTAATTAACCATATGTGTGGAAATGGTGTGAGTGCAGGAACAAGCAGTACTTGCGGAAGTTACTTCAACCCTGGAAGCAGGGATTTTCCAGCAGTCCCTTATTCTGGCTGGGATTTTAACGATGGTAAATGTAAAAGTAGAACTGGAGACATTGAGAACTATCAAGATGCTTCTCAGGTAATCTTAAAAAAATATAGTGACTGAATAAAGAGCTATCGGTGTTTTCAATTATAAATACGTAGCTTATTGAACTCCAATTTAATTACTAGTTTACATCCCATAGGCAAACAGCTTACTATGTCTAAAAGCTTAAAAATAAGACTCAAATCAATATTCAAAAAATTTCCCCTAATCAGACCAGATGAGGTGGCACACACCTGTAATTCCAGCATTCTGGGAGGCCACGGTGGGTGGATTGCTTGTGCTCAGAAGTTCAAGACCAGCCTGAACAAAAGTGAGACCCCATGTCTACAAAAAATATAAAAAGTAGTTGGACATGGTCATGCATGCCTATACTCCTACCTACTCAGGAGGCTGAGCCAGGAGGATCACTTCAGGTCAAGCGTTTGAAGTAGCCGTGACCTATGATGTCAGGGTACTCTACCCAGGGTGACAGAGTGCAACTCTGTCTAAAAAAAAAAAAAAACCTCCCCTAATCAAAAGAAAAGCTAATTTTATTTCTACATTCTCCATTTTATGCTAGAAAAATATTTCAAAGATATGCCCATAGTAGAATGTTGATATCCCCAGTGCTTGATGTAAATAAAGCATTGTATAGAAATACCTATTAATGAATAAGTGAATGAATGAATAATCAAATGAACTCTCAAGTGAAAGATAAGGTGTTATGAATCAATCACAAAATTTTTACCTCAACAGGTCAGAGATTGTCGTCTGGTTGGTCTTCTTGATCTTGCATTGGAGAAAGATTACGTGCGTTCCAAGGTTGCTGAATACATGAACCATCTCATCGATATTGGTGTAGCAGGCTTCAGACTGGACGCTTCCAAGCACATGTGGCCTGGAGACATTAAGGCCGTTTTGGATAAACTGCATAATCTAAACACAGCTTGGTTCCCTGAAGGAAGTAAACCTTTCATTTTCCAAGAGGTATGTCAATATATATGTATACGTGTGTGTATATAAAATGATATTTTATTCATTATAAAATTGATGGGAAATTTAACTAAATGTGCAATTTCTGTAGATTATTGTGCCACATCATTTATACTGTGCTGTGTTCTTTAGCTTCCTTTTATTCAGATATAATACATATAATTGTTTATCACAGAAGGTGCTAGGGAAGTACAGAGAATTTATTTAAGCGACAAACTTCACTGTGGCATTAACATCTCTCCAGAGACCATTATGGAAGACTGAATCTTGTAGCTGTGATTATCTCACACCGATCCATCTGAGTTTAAATCTTGGCAATACTACCATTAGCTGTGTTAGTTATTAATTAACCTCTCTGTGCAACAGTTATTTCTGTGAAGAAAGGGGCTAATGATAATGGCTAGGTCTTTATTTTCTTTAAAGAATTAAATTAGTTAATATTTATCAAGCACTGAAAAATGTCTGTTGTCAGTCAGATAGTATATTAATGTGAGCTGCTGGTATTACCATTTAAGTGCCAGACTAAAAATTAGATCAGCATTCTCACAGGGAAACAGGACACCTTGTAATTATGTTTCTTTTAACCTCATAGCATATATTTTATCAGAATAAAAGAATTTATTATTTTAAGAATTGTGGTATAAGGAAAATCACTTTGAGCACTTGAAATAACAAATACTATAGTTTAAAGCTGCTTTCTATATAATATTAATGTTTTGGTTAAAATTCTTTCAAGCTCTTATGCGAAATGATACCTTTTTCTATATTTCTACTAGGTAATTGATCTGGGTGGTGAGCCAATTACAAGCAATGAGTACTTTGGCAATGGTCGCGTGACAGAATTCAAGTATGGTGCAAAACTAGGCACTGTTATTCGCAGGTGGAATGGAGAGAAGATGTGTTACTTAAAGTAAACAAAATACATTTTTTTGCTTTAAATTCTTTCATAGGTCTATTAGTCCTATTACCCCAACATGATTATCTTTTTAGAACCTTCGTATTTAGTTAACTGTCAAGGAGTCAGTGGTTAATTTAAATGTCACAGTGCCCCGAGCCCCAGTTGATCAGCTTTTGCATTTAGAGTGTCAGGTGCAAAAAAGTATGCCTTAAAACCTGAAGTATTGGCTCGGTGCCTGTGGCTCAAGTGGCTAAGG